AGATATCAAAAACTGAGAAACCAGGGTGTAACAGGATGTTTTAAAAGGGTGCTTTAAATCAAGGCATGGCTACCTGATGCCAGTGGCAACCATCAACTTTTAAGTAGCTTGCCCAGGAGCAAGCCCCAGTGATAGCTTTTGCAGCTCAGGCTGCCTTGTGCGGTGAAAAGCGGGACACAAGTAATGCTGGGAGCTGTGTCGGAGTGACTGGCTCTGAATCAGTGCAACAAACCAAGGCAGCCCCAAAGCTAGCAGGGAGCACCTGCACTGTGTGCTGGAGGTGGTGGGAGTTGCTCCAGCACTTGGTGCTACTTTGCCAGTGGGTTTAAGCATGGGTGGCTGATCCTCCCCTCTCCTGTCACACAGGTGGTCTTTCTGGAGAAGCGGGTGACAGAGCTGGAGAAGGACACAGCTGCTAATGGCGAGCAGCACAGTCGCCTCAAGCAGGAAAACCTGCAGCTCGTGCACAGGTAAAGGAGCCCGGCTTGTGCCGTGGCCAACATGCAGTTTAGCATTGCCTTTTTTTCCCCTTCATGTACTGCAGCACCCTGTGCCTTCCCCATGGTCCAGCTGCCTGCCTGTATATAGGCAGGAGCTGCTCAGGAGCTGTTAGAGCATGTGGGGAGAGGAGGCAGCAGGAGAGGAGGAGGATGGGCAGAAAAGAGCAGGAAAGCTTCCCAGCTCTGCCCTTGATGATCTGATCCTGCCCTGGCAGAGGGCAGATGTGGTTAAGTCCAGCCGGGGTTCAGGCTGTCTTCTCTGCACAAGGGCCATGTGTGGGATCATGGCATCCTGCACATGCTTTTCTGGGTCTCTGGCAAACTCCCCAGGAGTGCAGGAAACTGCTTGCAGCTCAGCTGGGACAAATGGCAAATATCTCTTTTGCAATGTCCTGCTCAGATGCATGTAACTATAATGGTGTTTTTAGGATCTCTTTTTTTTTTTTTTTTATGTGCTTCCCTGCCCCACATGTCCATCCTGAAACATCTCTGGAGCTCCAGGGGTTGGCTCAGAGGAGGACTGCAGGGGGGTCATTCTTCTTGGAAAGCTTCCCATTCAAGGAGGATATATACTTCATACTTGCTCTGTATGGACTCTTTCTGGCCCATATTTTGCCCATTAGGTCTGGGTGGAAGGTAGAGCAGGGCCCCCTCTACCCATCTCTACCCTCCCCACAGGTAGCCTTGATCCTATTGCTTTCAGATCCTGGCTGGGGTGTAGCCCTTCGGATCCCATTTGATGTAACTGCTGTCTTTACTAATCTGGCAGGCTTCTCTCTTCCAGCAGTGTATTTACCCTCAGCAGATAAACCTGGCAGGAGTTTATCTATAGGGCTGTAAGGCTGTTAAGTAACAATTGTGTCAGGGAACCGAGCGATTCAAACAAAGGTTTCTCTAAGCCCTGATAAACTTTGCAGCAAGGGCAATGTTTTCACTTTAGCGGCTTGGCCCAGAAGTGTCAGCTGGCTTTTAATCAAGTAAAGCCATGAGTGTACTCATTGCTGGTTGAAGAATAGGTTCATCTGGCAAAAGCCTTCTCCACCTGCCTATGCAAAGTGATTGCATAAGCTCCAGCACACCAGCCTCCTAGTGAACCTCAGCTCTTCAGATGAGTGCTGGGGTTGGGTGATTTACTGCAGCATGGGGGCATAGGCTACCTCTGCTTGCTCCAGAGGGCAGGTAGGCATGCTGGCAAATACCTCTGCCCTGTCTGAGCAAACACTGCCACTGCCTGCACTGTTACAGTCTCAGGACTGCATGGAACTTCTGTTATGCTGGCACACAGAGAAGGTTGACCTGCAGATCCTGTATTTTTTGTTGGGGACATGAGAGAGTGAAAAGGAGGAGGACTGGGGCTCTTGTCTTTTTTTCTCTGGGCAATGAGACTACTTCAGGGCAGAGTAAAGGAGCCCAAAATGCTAGAAACAGCTGAAGGAGGATTTCTCTGCCATGGCCACTACAGGTGAAACCGCAGCCCTGGGATTTACAGTTGAATTCAATGATCTTAAAGGTTTTTTCCAACTGAAATGATTCTATGATTCAATGAGATTCCGATTAAGCAGCTTGTTCTGGATGATGCTGTGACTGTGACCCACAGGCTGTGGGTTATAAAATTATTACTGTGCTTTCACCCTCACCTCACCCCTTTGTTGGCCTCCCCTTAAAAAGGGATTTTATGCAGCCTGGAGACTTAAACTAGTTTAAGAGACAATACCAGCATTTACCACCTGGCTTATTTTATTTGACTGTCATGTTGGTCAGTAGTAATGTCCTTGGGGGTTTCATGGACCATGTTGCTTTTGCACTGCATCTGCTGAGACAAAGTGAAGCCCTCATACACTTGCTGCTTGAGATGGTGATAGGTATACTTTCCCTGAAAGCTTGCTCTATTTTACAGTCTGCTTCTCGCAGATCTCCTGTGCAGTGGGAGAAAGGCTGGGAAGAGACTCTGATCCCTCCCTTGGGATGGCAGCATGCTGGGGGTGAGCCATCAAGAATGGTTAATCCTCTCTCTCTCCTCTCCACAGAGCAAATGCTCTCGAGGAACAGCTGAAGGAGCAGGAGCTGAGAGCTGACCAAACACTCCTGGAGGAGATCAAGAAGCAGAGGGAGCTACTGAGCAAAATGGAGAGGGAGAAGAGCATTGAGATTGAGAATCTGCAGGCCAGGTGGGGCTGGGGCAGGGCTGGGTGGTGGCAGGTCTCCTGGACCTACATGTACACGCTGGAATACCTGTACAGGCTGCTGCTTTGCAACTGCAGCCTTTGAGGAGACAAAGTGCAGTAGACAGTGAGTTTAACTTGGTTAAAGGTGTAACTAAAGTCATTATAAACCCTGAAACCCCTGAGGTTTGGCTACTTGTACCTTCATTCCAAAATCAAGCCCCTTTGTGAGCCTAGTCTCAGACTCTTGATTTGAATTTCGCTGATGCGGTTTAAATTTAGCTCACATTCTCTATCCATGTGGCTGCCCCACAGTGTGTGAATGAAGAGGTGGTTTGTTAGTGCTTATTCCCATGAGTGACCCATGGAAGTACATTGGATGCTCAGATGTTGTCCACCTTCATGGAAACAGGCAAATATCTGGGAAGGAAGAGTTGTCCAACAGGCAGTGTCCCGGACAGGGCGCTTTACTCTGCCTGTTGGCTTCCAAAGGAAAAAGTGGTGTGGAAGAGGTTTCATTTATTTGACAGGTTTTTTGCTGCTTTTTCAGAATATGTTTTGCTATTGTTCAACCCTTGCAGTAAAGGAAAGGTGAAGGCAGTAGGATTTTTGCTGGGCTTGTAGTAGGACAGTTACCATTGCAAATGGATGTTACTTTACCTGGAGAAAGCAAAGCTGAAGCCCTCTGACTCTGCCCAGGCAATGTGTCTGCTTTTTGGTGCCTAGTGCTGAGGCTTGCCCATGGACTGATGAAGCCCTTGGCCTAAAGAATAACGTTGGACCTGATTGAGAAGGGCATGGCACTGGACAGCAGACTTGCCAGAACTCATGTGGTTGCCTCACATTTTCCCCTGGGAGTAGAAATAGCAGAAGTCTCAGGGTTTGCTTTGAAAAGATAAGTCCCTGCTGGCTTGCCTTCAGCAGGTCCTGGTTTAATATTCCTAGTGATGTTTCAACCAAGTCTCCTACATTTGGGATGCTTGGGTAAGTTTCTTACGCATCTCTTTACTGTTGCAGGCTGCAGCAACTGGATGATGAGAACAGTGAGCTGAGATCCTGTGTCCCTTGTTTAAAAGCTAACATTGAAAGACTAGAGGAGGTGAGGAACTGTGTGTGCTTGGGGTGTGCAAGCCGGAGCTGCGTTTCTGGATTCCCACCTGCTGCCTCACATAGCTGGAGCTGAAATTCTCATTTACATGAAGGGCCTACGTGAGATCTGTTTGATGTAATGAGCAAATCAGCTGCTTGTGCCTGCCAGTCCTTGCAGACCTTGCCTTGGACCAGAGCTATCCCATACACGCTAAACCAGGTTCCCAGTGTTTGGCTTGGAAGCTGGGATTAACAAACCCCTAATAAATCTCTCTGTGACAGTGCAGCCTGCTTGAAGCCACACTGTGCAGTGGTGGCAGCCGTGTCCTGGCTGGTTAGGAGGGGACTTGTGCCCTCTTGTGGAAGCTTGTCCCCATCCCTGCGGCTGTGGGACAGTCGGCTGCAAGGGAGGAAGAGGAGCGGGCATGATTCATCTCCATGTCCTGCTCGGGCAGATACACGCTTGCTGGGATTTGCGAGCTGAGTCTTCAAAGAGCCGTGTTATCTCCCAGATCCTCTCCCCTCTTGCCCTGTGTGGTGGTTTAGCCCCAGCCAACAACTAAGCACCACGCAGCCGC